GGTTTTCAGAAATTTTCTGCACTAGCACCGTAGCGCTCGACGACGTAAAATTAGAGCTATGGTTATGCAGTGATAGAAACAGAACTAAATAAAGCTAAACATTTCCTGAAAGGTTCAGAGTTTTCTCCTTTCACCGATATACCTAATACAGAGTGACGCTATTCCGCTCGTGCGGTGGTAGACCGGGCTTTCTGGAAAGACTTCTCGTCGAAATGTCGGACCGTTGATAATGTTTTCCATGAGAAGAAAAAGAAAAAAGAAGAAAGGAAAAAGTTGGCAGAAAGAAACAATCAAAATAAACAACGGCGCTATCGCAATATACGGGGCATCCTTAGGACTAAGCTAGGAAGGCAGAAACTTCGGGAAAATAAAATGCTCATGCACCCTGGAGTCTCTAATCTCCTGCCTAAAGCTGAGTCCCGATTCTTACAAAAAGAGATGTTTTACGCGATTTCTCATGCACTGCCACCACAATGCCCCGTATCTTGCGATAGCGCCTAAACACTATGCCGGCGTTTCATAAAAGGAGGGAGCTTGGAGGTATGGCAACACGAGACACATATTTCTCGCAAAATTCACGATCGGGGCTCCTATTCTGAACCATATTTTCACATCTTCGACATCCATGAAATGGCCATTTCATACTTCACATTTTCAATTTCTTAACCATTATGGAATACTTGTATTTCCGCAATAGTTTATGTATCGAAACGGTCGTTGAAATGTCTGAGAACGTGCAAAATTTCTTCAACTCTTTTTTCAGCTCCCTACAAAATATTCACGATGAGGGTGCTTCTTCTCCTATCACTGATAGGAGCTTTTCAACTGAGCTGTTGTGGACCGCCTGGAACAAGTGGCTCACTGGAGGATCCACAGATCAAGGAAGTCGTCGAAAAGGAGGCTAAGGTATTGACTACGGTAGCAAGTAAATTATGAATAGCTTCGTATCACAAAACTCTAGTACTGTAGTACTGTAGTGGTTAAAATACCTTTTTTTACAATCAGTAAAACAAAACTGACTCACAGTGGTGGCCAAAAAACTTTATTATTGTTTCATCTGAGAACATACGCCTGCTTGTCTTCATTGTGCTTCGTATAGCCACTCGACGAAGCCTCATGCGGAGTGTATCCTTCTTTTTAGCCCCCCCCCTCCCCTACATAGACTGTTGAAATATTCGCTTGGCTATGCGGCATTATCCTGGCCGGGGTGAGCACCACCTCAGTTTTTCAGCCACGCAGGCTAGCTGCATGTACCGCGCAACAACCTATAGTTGGGCGATGCTTATGCTCCGTCCCTTGGTGGTAGCTCCAGGGTTCATCTCTCTCAAACTTGCCCCACCCATACTTCCTGGATCCTGCTGATGTTTTTCAGCGAAGTGAGTGCGCTAGAAAAAGTCGAACCTGGTGGTGTCAATCATGCATCCGCATGTCAGCAGTCAGGTCCGCAGTGGCCTGAATCTAGCCTTGACGTCCCTCCATGGAACGCCTGGCCGGCCAACTCGAAATTATCCCAATCTGGTCGTAGATCCAAATTCCTCGGAAGAACGCCAACTCTATGCGTTGCCCCAAAAGCAAGACCTTTTATTTCCAAATACTTGCACCGTGAGCCATTTGCGACCACGAGATCTCCGCTATCCTAGATTCCCGCGATATGTATTCCCATTATTTTGAAACGAGAAAGCGTCGAGTACAGACCACACATCACAAGTGACGATAGCCAGGAGAAAAGCAAGAGGCCCTTTATTCTCTTTTTCATCGTTTGTGGCGTGTGGTCTGCACTCGACGCTCTTCTAATCTTCCGAAATAGAGTGTGCCTAATAAACGATGCGAGCAGATCCACCTTATCAGCTAAGAAGTAGAAATTCAGTCTTGCTTCTACACGATTGCTGACCTAGGGATCCAGTCCTTGAAGGTGCCTGTACAATTCTATGTGGCGAAGTTTGAAGGGCCAGGCTAAACAATTCCATCCTTGGAGGAGGATTCCACGATGGATGATGTCGAAGAAGGAGAACCTACCTGAAGAAAAGACAGCCGGCTACTCCAATGTGTCGAGACGACACTAGCTCGCCCGCGAAGGAGTATGCTCCTGGCGCTCTCAGCTGGCTCTTCTGCGCCGTCTATGCTGCTGCGACGACGCACTCCCTCCGCCGTCTTAGCCCTGTAACCGAGACACCCGTTAGCCGATGAATAGAAGTGCTGAGAAAGTCTAAGCTCAAAATCAGGGCAAAAAAGGTACCATCTCTCTAATCCTATGTTGTTTTTTTTGCTTTTTTCAAACCCCCTCATCCTGATCATTACTTTGTTTTCTAGTAATGGCCGTTTTCCATCGCAAAAAAATGCTGCCGCCTGTTGTAACTACAGGCCCTGAGATATGAGAAATTGCCGTCCGCTCTGCTAGTAGAGATTTTGTGAACGTCCGCCGATGTGGAAATTGACACGCTCGCCCCCTGAGCGCGCAAAAAGACGCTAGAGGTTGCGAAATGCCCTCACTACCAGCCGTTCTCCGTTTGGGATATCACGCGACGCCGGGCTTTTTTTCCCTGCTGCGCACACTCGTACGGCAAGCTCTCTCTCGCTTTCTGTCTTCTCTGTTGGCTCTCGATCTCCGTCGTACCACACTCGAGCTTACAGAAAGCTTAGGCCCCCCAATTTTAGTGTCTTTGATGGCATCCTTTTTCACTTTCGGCCCATCGGCACCTCAGCCTTCATGTTTGAGTAATCTTATACACCATCTTTATCCCGGGTTTTACCTTGATTTGGGCAAGGCAGTCGAACTATGCAGGCAATTTCAACTTGGAATTCATCTTTCAGGAAGTACCTGTCCACCTTCGGCTACATGTCCAAGCCAAAGGCTCCGGTAAGGCAGTGGTGATAAGCCAGCTGAGCCCACCAAATATGATCTGCAAGTGGCTCTCAGGTGAGTTCGATTCCAGTTTTATTTGAGAACGTTACGACCTCTTCTATGGATAAAATGGCTATTAGCATTTTTGAAGACAGGGTTTGCGCTCATGGTGGTTACTGGCTGGTACTGACCACGACCTCTGCGCGGATGCCGTCTTGATTGCTTTGCCCGGGGGGGGGTACCATTGAAATCCCGCTCATATGTGAAAAGTGATGTGCCATCGAAATAGCGCCGTTATGATGTCACGCGAGAGGCTGCGCTCTGTAGGCACATCAGTATTGAATCTGCGGGAGCTTCCTTTCAAAATGAATGAGTCAACAGCTCAAAGAGGCCTCGAATCGGCCTCGAGATGACTCATTAAGGTTATACGGGACCGGCTCTAGAACTAAGCCGGCGCTGTTCCGCGCTCGCTAAGCACGGTGTTTTTCTAGATTCTGAGTCATCGCCTGTAATGAGGGTAAGATTAGTCAAGCTCCTCATGAGTGTTAAAAATGAACTATTCAAACTCTGTGTAGCGGAGCTAATTGAATACCAGGTATCGGTAGACAAATATTGGGTAGAAATATAAGGTATAAGATATTGCGTGGGATAGATACTACAAAGTGACGCTCATTTACGCGAGATTAATCTCGGACTTAAAGTCACATTCCATGAGTACAAAACCCGTCTAAATTTCTCGTCTAAGTTGCAGTTTCTATGTTGACATGAAGCAGATTTTTGTAAAAGGTAACGCAGTTTGAAATTTGAATCTTCTCAAATTTTATCTTCAAGAAGACTACACAGCCCTGCAGTTCATGCACAACCCTTCGGTTTAGGCGGTTTCAGGAAGCTTTTCTGCTCTATCCGTCTGGTGTGGTCGACGTACCGACTCTGGCGAAAATGTCCGAATACAGATGCGCCAACAGGGACATGTACAATGGCGCGGAACTTAGAAGTAGGTACCAGTCATTGTTAGCATGTTCTGAGTATCTGCAAATAATTGTTACCTCAATCCTTAAAATTAAGAATTAGCAGCACATTATAAGGCCCCGTCCTAGTCGATGAAGAGGTACGAATTAAGGGTTGTCGTTTTATAACCAAGAGTTCGAAGTTACTCTGAAAATAGGAGTCACTCTTTATTCCGGGAAGCGAGAAGAGCGTCGAGCACAGAACCTGCATCACAAGTGACGAATCGCCGTGCAGACCACACCATAAGTGACGACGGCCATGAAAAAAGTGGCTTTTACGCTTCCTTCTCTTGAACTGTCGTCTCTTGTGATGTATGTCTGCATCTCGCCGCTTTTTCGTTTTCGTAATAGAGGGTACCTGAGTTTGATTGGGACATTCCTCCTTTCCTTATGTGGCATAGATATTGCTTTGGTTTTTATTGCAGATCTCCCAAAGAAACACCTCTGGAATAAGAAGACGATACTTTGGAATCTCTCGTCAAATCCATCATCAGACAATTTCAATTTTTTACTATTTACAAACATTCTTATTGCCACTTGGAGAGTGGGCATTTGCGTTGCGGCTGCGTTGCGCTGCTCTTAATCGCAACGCCATAAGTGGACATTTGAGATGTTTTGATAGCTTGATTTGTCTCATGTTAAATGAGATTTTCTGGAGTGATGGTTTTCAGGGAAGCCTGCGATGAAGCGTTCGAGAAATGGCGAAAAGCAACTGGAATGGATTTCCTCGAGACAAAAAATGCTTCAAAAGCCGATATTGTCATTTCGTTCAGCAACCTCGGGGACGACTTCGACAATGGCGAGTTGTTTAGTTGAACTGGAGTCTTATAAAAGCCATAGGCATTTGTCAAGTGCTAGACAATGATCAGAGGGGGAGGGAGTGATTTGACTGCTAGGACATGGTCTTTGAGCATCAGTAACTGTCAGGATCCGTTCAAAAATTTCACTCATCTAGATGAACAGCCAACGCGGAAACCACGCCCAAAATGGGCGGTTCTTCCGAGCATCGTTTTCTACATTTTCCGAAAAATCGTTAGATCTCACTAAAATTCCTGAGCTCCCATTAGCACATCATTTTGCCGGAAATATAATCCGTAGAAATAATCCTTACGGGAGTTGGCGAGTTATTGATCAGCTGTAGATCAAATAATTTCGAGATATTTTCAGTTGCTGCTGGAGCTACACGACCGATAAACAGCCAGATTATCCTTGAAAAGACGCACCTTTGGGGTTATCGCAAACATGAGCCGGTAGGTCCACCGTTTTCAATGCAATGCAGCTTCCAAGTCGTGGTGCGGGCGGTTGCGGGGCGGTTTTGTTCGGTGTTTGCAAACAAATAATTCCGATAGAAGTGATACATATACATGAATTTTCTGTTTGAAATCATGGCATCTTCTCACGAGAAAGTGCCACATCAGCTGCTTCGCGACCGCACGCGTCAGTGATCCACAATATGCACAGTCAGATAATCACTCCAGGAACTTTTAGAGAGGCATTTCACTTTTCCACACTTCTGCTCCATGAAATTCGGACACAGCCTTGGATTGCCGCACAATTTCTATAGAGGGTAGGTTTTGCTTTTTGGTGATGTCATATCATATCGATAAATCAAGCCATTTTCAGATCGATAATGTATCCAATGCTGAAGCCAAGAGTACTTATGGCACATTGGACGAGTGCCCAATGTCGACAGAAGTATGCTGAACAACTCTCGGTAATTTAATTTAGCAATTTACTTTATAAGGCGCAAGCAAGATGGTGTGGCGCCGTTAGCTTGTGCTTCGCCCGAATTCTGGATCAGTTCCGGGCTGGCGCCAATTAGACTGCTAGATCATGGGATGGAATTGAATGATTTCGCACCTGCCTGAAGAGAGAAACAAGGATTCCAAGGTCAATCTAGTTCCCCAGGGAAAAACAGATTCAAACCCTTGCTACGAGTTCTGAGGGAAGTCCAAGCGCATGGCGATCTGACATGTTGGCCACGGCCAGCTGTCAGTTCATCTACCAAGCCAATCGTGTGTGTAGTGAATGCTCCTGTCCCTACTTCATCCTCTCTGTATTTATGACACCAAAACAACCTGTAAAAACGATTATTCCTCAGTAGCGGTAAACGAATAAGGAAGTAAACAATAATAAGATAAATTAGGTGAACAAATGCATACTAGCGGGTCGAAAGCATGACTGAAACGTTTTTGATTGATGACCTGTTTTTCCATACCCCAACAGTCGGTAATTCTGAGAAGGGAAAATCGCTGACGTATATTATACATCGTGGCCCTCAGTCATTAGATGTGCCAAATCGCATTCAAATTCCAGTACGATTCTGAATGGAAGTAGTATGCGTGGCACATCCCAAGACGGACTATACAACACCGGACACCTTATCCTTTATTCAGTTCCCTCTGAGTAATGAAATGTTGTGTCCTTCGGACTTTTTGAACCTTTGAGGTCTGGGTGTTTAAGGCATCTGAAAAACCCTTATTTGATCTTCAGGAATTTTTTTGAGAGGGGAATGTCCAACGCAGCGTTTCGGCGAGCTTTCGGCCTGCTACTGTTACATGATTACGGTAAAGAGAGAGCTAAGAAATAACTACACAGTGATCGTTGTTGTTCAAAGATCACTTGTAAACACGCCCGAATTGGGTATACTTATGGGGGCAGAAATTGGCCTCAACATATCGCCGCCTACGCTGATAGCGGCGGCCACTCACATATGTACGTTACTATATAGCCGCTGGCAGGGTTCGCTAAGAAGCTCTCATTCCGACCTCATTCGTTGCCATTTGTCGGTCCGATTCCAACATGCTCCTACTTCTCATCTTAATTCCACTTGCCCTGACTGCTGATATCGATCTAGAACTTTCGGAGCCAGGTAAGTAGCATTTCATAAAGCGATTCATCCAGTTCCAGAGACAATTTTCAACGCGTGCTCTTCAAAGATTTAAGCCTAGCCAGCTTAGGGTGCTGTGGGTCAGGAGATCCACCGCGTGTCGCACACCGCGTCGCAAGTGGCGCCGCGCAAGACATCTGCCACGGAAAGTACCGTATTCAGTGCCATTGCTCTCTGACAGCGGTCACCAAACAAAGCGAGACAAAAGTGTTTATTGATAAAGAAGCCTAAACCAGGAGGCGGAAGTGACGCTGTTCACCTTACAAATGGGCCCCATTTAAAATCCTGGGCGGTACGAAGTTCAGGCGAACTAAGCCCTCTATCCTTTCGAGGTCTGCTGTTTGTGTGGGGGGATAACAACGCTGACAAGTACATCGGCTGGCCCCACATGTCACGGTATAAGCCAATCATCATCCAAAATGCTTCTATGGTTCTGAATGGAAGTAAGATGGGTGGCGCATCCCAAGAAGCTATTGATCAACGTCCACTCTTTAGTTTTTTTAGACAGGATAAACAGCGTTCTATTCTTAGACGGAAAGTGTTGGCAGAGGAACATTCAAGTACTGCAGATGAGTGAAGTTATCCGTCACTGTAGGTACAGTATTCGTTTACAGGCCGCCCTCAAGTGGATAAGGAAAAGCCGAAAAGTGGTGGAGGCGATCTACGGAAATGCCCGAAACAGATCGATTCGGTCACTTATCGTGAGTTTGGCTATATCCTGTTCCTTTTCTTCAGTTAACTTTGATTATTCGCATGGGTCAACTAGGGCCGGAACACCTGGACTTCGAACGATCCTTCCTTACAAGGTCTTCACTTCCCTAGATTCCCGTTGAACTGCGGCACCTCTTTACCCTTTACTCTCTGCCCTTCCTCCAGAACTGCCCTCCGGATATCTTTCTCGTATTTTGTCCACGACTAACCACTTGGCTAGAAAGTTGTCTTCTAGGAGTAAGTTTGACCCGTAGAACACGAATATCACATTTGTTTACCGCTAGAACGCCTGGCGCTCGCGTCAGAAGCGCCGGCGCCAAAAGGCGCCAGAACATCTCGGATCCCCAAATTCGCTGGAAACTTGTCCTCAGAGGTATTTTGACCCGTAGAACATGAATATCACATCAGTTTGTTACGAGTGAGCCTGTAGCCTGCGCTACGGGCGCCCGCGCAAAACTGTTGTGATAGCGCCGGCGCCTGTGGCGCGGGCGCCAGCGTTTTCGCGCTAAACCGGCAAAATATTCGTGTTCTACGGGTTGAAATACCCCCAAGACAAGCTTTCTAGCCAAATCCTTAGTCATGGACGAATTTCGATCAAAATCCGGCTCAGTTCTTGAGGAGTGGGGCAGTAAAGGGTGAATAGTGCCAAAACGCCTATACATAAAGGCAGATGGTACGATAAAGTGATCGCCACTGAAGATTAAATCACAGCTCAAAAGGCGCAGGGAAAGCAAGAGGAACTGCCTAAAACCAGCAAAATGGACCTTTGTTTTCCTTGCCGAATTCCCATTGTAAGAGTCGTCACATCGGCGTTGACGTGGTCAACGTGAACGCTCTGTTCTGCGTCTCTGCTAGAACGGCCAGAGTCTGACGGCGAGGAACCACACCTGAGGTTGTTGGGGGCATGAACAGCCACAAAAGAATTTGGCTGCCGTGGGTAAGGCCCTACTAATTCAGTACGAGCGCACCTTTCGCAGCAAGCTGCGCCTTGCCCGCTTCGCAGGGGGAGAGGAGCCTGCCTCCCTTTACAGTGAGATAAATGATCCCTTCGTTAATGTCCTATTAATCGTGACACCTGCCTTTAAGTCAAATACATTTTTTTTTAACAAAAAGCTGAAACTTGGTCAGGACGGAAAATTAGTTTTAATTTTGAAGTGACGCCATCGGAATGGGTGGTCTTCCAAGGCGACAAAGGTCTACCGCGTACGTGACAGAAATTCATCGACAACGGAAGGAAAATTCAATCTGTGAGTTCTATAGGTTCAATTCCATCAAGAAGAAAAAATTAGGGACGAATGAGCGATAAGAGCCGACTGAACAAAAAACTTCCT